CACGATTCACATCTTTCACTCAAAATATTAATGGGGAGAATATTGAAGTACCGCTACATTTAGTTTAGCATGGCTGTCTAGTTTTCCTCTTTTAATGTTGTGTGCGTAAATGGCACAACGGTAGAATGCTCACCGACCACTCATGTGGTTCGGGGTTCGATCCCCGGCTGCTGCGCTCCTTTACGTCGCTAAGCCAGTAATAAGATTGGCAAAGAGGGAAGGTTGAGCATGGGGCTGGCAACCCCATCGCGTAAAAATAAACATCACTGCTACAAAACCTTCAGGCCTTTACCTGGAAGACCTATGTTCCACTGGGAACGTAAAGCATTAAGAAAAATTTTAGATGCGATTAACTAGTTCAGCATTGTAAATCCTGCTTTACAAACTTGGTTAACTTTATCTCCTAATATTTGTGTTGTACTGTGGTGAGTGCTACTTATAATCAGATTTAAGTAGTATATCGGTAAACGAGTTCAGAAAAGCAACAATAAGTTTCGGACACTAGAAAAAGGCAATCGAAGAAGCGAAATGTGAGAAGAACGTTACAAACACTGTGCAGAATCCAACAAACTATCGAATTTAGTGATATTCGACCAATTTGCAAATGATGTGCAAATAAAGCATTGAAGATATGTTACGCCAAATTGATGTACGTACAATGAGTATGGCCTAAAAAGCATGCCTTCGAGCCTCATCGGTCTTCTCTTTCTTACAGTACCACTAACCTCTAATGCAGCATAATTAGTTCATGATCCAGCTAATGAATCCGTGAGCTTTTACAAAGTTGGATTCCTTGACTAGTAGCTCACTGGTTATCAGACACAAATAGGCAGTATATTGTACTGAATGTTTACAGTATTATACACGTTTCCGCTAATTATCTGATTAGATGTTCCACAGGAAACCATTCAATTTCCGGATAGTTTTCATCGCAAATAAAGAATAATAGAAAACCTAAAACAGCGGTTTCTTTTAAATTAAAATCAGTAGTGTGGTAATGACGAATCCCTTTAAACCAGTAGTTTACACAACATTCACTGAGACTCTTTAGAAGTACGTACCAACCAACGATCGAACCCAAGACCTTCAAGCTACGAGAAAAAGTACTTTGACAATCAGTTATTGCGTTGAGATATAATGGCTCACTGAAGTCCATTACACATTAGCGATTCACTATGGGATAAACTGGTTGATGTTCTGATGAAACGTTTGCAGGTTTAGATACTCGCCGATGGCATTCGATGCGGATTATGCTGTATCATTAACTAACAGAAACTTGAATTAATGGAACAATAGATTCCGCCCTAGGTCTGATCCCCAATGGAGACCTTGGTGTGTACTGTTGAACAGTTCCAAACAAGGATACAATAGTGCTGTTGTAACAACAGAACAAAGTAGTACTTGGTAGTGGAATTGCTTACTAGTGAACTGCTGTACAGATATGACCCAAATACACATCTGCCTTATATTAAAATCACCATTTGCAGCATATGTCCCAGGTACTGTGCTTCTCTTTTGTCTTCCTTTCATGTTTTCTATAATTGTTTCATAAGGACTGTTCATTTCTTCTCTTCACCATTCAATCTATCCCTCCGTTATTCAATATTCTTGCAGCAGATATATATTACTTACAAGATGTTATCAGTAGTCTGCGCCAAGCTCTTTGGTTTCTCGTGGTTCTCTCTCTTCCTTTTGAGCACTCACTATGACCATGTGATGTTTCTAATTTACAGGTGGCGGCAAACGTTTTCAGATTTATTGTTAACCTAGGGATAAAAATCGAATGAATCTCCCTAGGGAGGTAAAACGAAAACCTTCAGCCTGGTTAAAATTGATTAACAGGTAGAAAACGACACCTTGTCCATCCTACTCATTAATTCATGTTACCTAAAATTCTTCACATGATTACAGACATTTCAAATATAATCGACAAGAGACTACTCCGCATACATTTCGTACTCTTGATAAGTTTCATGAAAGAAAGAACGATACGAATTGCAGCAGAAAATGATATCATCATTCTATTTCACAGGTTCTCATCAGCTGTGTAAACCACTTGAAACTACAATGGTTATAAATTGTGACAAAAACATACTTCGATGTTTCAATAGTAGTAAAGAAAACATTATAAAATCAACACATCCGAGACATAAGTATTAAAATCTTGGGTTTAAGTTACCATCAATTTATATGCTTTCAAAATACAAAATAGGAAAGAGGCAGGGGGAGATAGAAAACACAAAAATCAAATAAACAAAGCTGACATATAGGTTTACATTAGCAACTCAAGAAGTTTGCAGTTCATAAAATTGAAAACTTGCTCAATGAGTTGAAATCACTAATATGTATGACTAATCAATGTAATCAAAATGCAGTTACCAAAGAAGTGAGAGATTGATTACATTTCCTCTGTATTCATAAGTTTGCTGTGAAACGCTTGATTGCAGTTACTTCAGCGAATCGTAGTAAATTTGCTGTCCTTTTTGTGTTTAATATTTTGAAGGATTTAGAAATCTCGACGAAATGACCCGTATTCACAAGGTGTCTGGTAATGGCACTTTGTGAATATCTGCCTCCTTTTAGATATAAGTTTCTTGGGATGTGCTCTGAAAACCGGATAGAAGCCCTTCTTCCTCTCCTTCAAATGCACTTGCTCTGGCAAGTGCACGTAAATGTATAAATGCAGTTGGAGGTAACGTCAGCAGGGTACTTATCCAGTTTGGATTGGCTTATAGAGCATGTATAGCGTTACGAGCTTATCTGCAGGGGAGCATGTTTTTATTGCTTGTCTCATTCTCTTGTCAATGTTTCGTGATACTGCTACTCCTTCAAACAGGAGACAAATAGACACTTTCTTCTTTTTAACAGTTGGATGTTTCGTTTTCTCGTCCTCTTCTTTGCAGTACTTGGATAAATCCCTTTGAATAGCCATTTTCCCTTGGGTACTTTTCAACAAGGCTCAATTGTTATTCCACTCTTTTAAGCGAACATAACTTCCTGGTTCTGTCGTACAGTGTCCTTACTAATCTCCGCATACAGGACAGCTGTTGTAGTGAAGATATTGTCGAGTTCAGGTTTCTTTTCAGTAAATAGATTTTTCTACCATACCACCATTTCTTCTTACATTAAAAGCCAGGAAATTGAGCTTGTTGTATTCAAATTCAACGGTGAAGTTAATGTTTGGGTGGATCTCATTAAGACGGTCAAATAATACAGATGCCTGACTCGTGTCGTTACCAACAACAAACGTATTATCGACATATCGGCGATAGTAGCTTGCTTCATTGATATCAGAACTCAGTCGCGTCTGTTCCAGATAACCCAAGATATCGGCCAGAACAGGTTCAAGAGGTGAACCCATAGTGACCTCATCGATTTGTCGGTATCACAAAACATCGACAAGAGAATGAGACAAGCAATAAAAACATGCTCTCCTGCAGATAAGCTTGTAACGCTATACACCACCACATGCTCTATAAGCCAATCAAAACTAGATAAGTACCCTACTGATGTCACCTCCAACTGCGTTTATAAACTTACGTGCACTTGCCAGAGCAAGTGCATTGAATGCACAGAAAGAAGGACTTCTATCCGGTTTTCACAGCATATTCCAAGAAACTTATATCTAAAAGGAAGCTGATATTCACAAAGTACAATTACCAGACACCTTGTGAATACGGATCATTTCGTGGGGATTTCTAAATCCTTCAAAATATTAAACATACAAAGGACAGCAGATTTATTACGATTCGCTGAAGCAGTTGCAATCAAGCATTTCAAACCAAACTTTTGTGCATACAGAAAGAGGGTGTAATCAATCTCTCACTGCCTTGGTAACTGCATTTTGACTACACTGATTAGTCATTCCATACTAGTGATTTCAACTCACTGAGCAAGTTTTCAATTTTATGAACTATAACCTTCTTGAGTTGCTAATGTCAACCTACATGCTAACACTGTTTATTCGATTTTTCTGTTTTCTATCTCCCCACGCCCCCTTCCTTTTTTGTATTTTGAAAGCATATAAATTGATGGTAACTTAAACCGAGAAATGTTAGTGCTTATATTTCGGATGTGTTGATTTTATGGTGTTTTCTTTACTACTATTCAGACATTGAAGTATGTTATCGTCATTATTTATAACCATTATCATTTCAAGTGGCTTACACAGCTGATGAGAACCTGCGAAATAGAATGATAATATCATTTTATACTGCATATCTGGTCTTTCTTTCTCTATTAAGACTAATCTGCATTGTTATTTGACTTGAATTATTTCCTCTGATAAATGAATTTGCCGAAAACAGCCTCTTCGCTGAACTATATGGTTGTTTGTTATTCAATAATTTTGTATTGTTCGCCTTGTGAATTCTTATGTATTCATCTCACCTGGGTTCACTGAAGTCGAAGGTGAGATTCAACTCAGTTGCACATATCTCCTTTGAAGTAATTGGTATAGTGGTGAGAGCTGGCTGTGAACAAGCCGAAATTGTTGACAACAATTTACGTCCAATAACAAAGCTTAACCTTGAGGAACTCACCAACCAATCACAGCAGACCTAACGTGTGCAAATGCGATTCGCAGATACATGGCTTAACTTTCTAAGAAACGGTCGCAAGCAGAACAGAATAATCTTCAGCAAGAAAACAACCAATCATAAGAGATTGTTTCTCCGCTGATAATAATATACATAAAAATCTACAAATATCTCTTGATTTTCTCAATAAACGAGCTGTTGCCTGGCCTTTGTATTCTGTCGTTACAGTATTACAATACACATGCTTTGTTTTCCAAAACGAAAGATGCACCTTTGCAATTATCGATAATTTAGGATAATGCGAAGAGATGTGTATACCCTATTTTTTTACCAAATATTACTTATTTCAAACAACTATTCAAGTTTGCAGAGTGCTATATGACCTTATTTATGAATCGATAAAAAATGACGCAAACACAGAGACGTGATGACTACTTGTTTTCTTTTTTCTAAACATGATCACTCTTCCACTTCTCAAAATAACATGTTCAATTTCATTTTTGCTCTTTTTTCAATTATCGTAAAGGTATATACTTTATAAAGCATATATATATACGTACATTGTAGACAACATGTTAAAACTAGTGTACAAAATGAGAAAATGCATTCAAACAAATTGATGATAAAAGATTGAATACATAAATTGAACTTCTTGACTGAGAAACTACTCATACGGAATGATACAAGACGATGGACGACTCTTTTCATCATTAATTTTTTACCCAAGCAAAATATAGTAAACAAAAAAACATACCGCTGAGGATCACAGCTAAGCATCACCATGACAACATAGATTTAAATACTAGCGCTACACCGAAGCGTACGGCATAAATGAATTCGGACCATGTCACTAGCCAGTTTTTTTTCCACTATTCACAACATTTATTACACTTTATAATATTTAAATAAAGTAGCAATCAAAGAAGGATTTTCTTTTTTTTCGAATTTGATAGAAATACCGATAAATGCTCAGCAGCAAATTAGTAGAAAGTTACTTAAACTAGTGAAGATAACCCATACAACAAATAAAACGGAAAACATTTTGCAGAAATAGTAATAATAATAATGGAATGATCACAGACGAAATTTCCTTTATTCCTGATAAGACCTGTCTCATTGTAATAATCCATAGCGAATATTACTTCTCGAATTCCCATATACTCGACGAGTAGGTTCCACAGAATTAGGCATGAGTTTCGATGAATTAGTATTTGCAATACCAACACTTTTTGTAATTGCAGATACTTCTTGTAAAAATGTTCTCGAATTATGAACACATGTCCCTCCTATGATAATATCGACATCTGGTGTTGAAGAATTAATTTTATGCACACTACAGACTTCTTCGTAGGTGACACCACCAATGAAAAAGACAATAATTTCTTTTGGACGCTGGCCACTAGGTACAGTCTTCCAACAAGTACCGGTAGCTAAACTAGGAAATGAAGCATCACGTAGTTGACCTTTAGTCAGCTTATTTAAAATATCTACTAATAAAGGTTCATGTTGAGTGTATACATTGTCGACACCTTTTAATTCTTGTACTAAGCGTTTTTTTAACGAAGCCATTGCTTTTGTTGCACTTTGAGCATCGACAATAGCTGATGTTCCACTGGTTGTTGCACTTTTAACAACATTAAATAAATCGAATCCATCAGAATTGGATACTGGCCATGAATACTCCAGTAACTTTTCAATAGTTCTAATATCTTCATCGGTAGCACCACGTGTCACTAAAGCGCGAATTAATCCAGCCAACTCTTGTTTTTGCTTGCCATAGCGTAAAGCATACAGTAGGACAAGTCTTAAAGCATCAGAAAGTAGAATCCGTGGATCACTGACTAAACTTTTAATACGTGATAAAACTGAAGCATGATTATCCCGGCATACAAGTTCTTGTTCAACTTCGCTTACTTCTAGCAGGGCATGCTCTTTTACAATTCTAGATAACTCTGACATCAATGTCACATGTGTATCAACGGTGCCAGAGACTTTTCGAAAGGCTGGATAATTTTCTAGAAACTTTTTCAAGTCTCCAATTGACTCCAAGTTTTTAGCATCAACAGATTTTGAGGCTTTTTGAAAGTTATCGACAAGTTTTTTAATCGATTGTCCAATATCACCAAAATTTGAAAATTGATTTGTACGGTAGAACTCATCGAATTCACGATCTAAAGTAATTTCTTTCAGGTCGGATTTCACGTTCGGTGCTCGAGCCAAACTGACACGATTCTGTGTGATACCGATTAATTCATGCACCATAGCTTCATAAGTCCATTGTGACAACAATGGTGTGACAGTGTCTTGTCTTCTGTCTAAAATCAACAGTACAGGAGCTGGTTCTGTTTGTCGAAAATCAAACAACACCGTCTCTCTAGATATTAACGAACGAATTGATTCAGCCAACTGACGGGCTGCTTCTGAATTATTTTGATAGCGGATTACAGGACACTTTTTTAAAGCTAACAATACTGATGTGATACCATCAGTGGTTCGATTCAACACTCGACTATTCATATCTCTACTTTCATCCAAGCTGATGGGTATATCAAGTTCAAAAAGAAATGGAGATAAGGGGATGAAATCAGCAAAATACTCTTGAACTTCAACAACCGCCTCATTTTCGTCGGCTTCTGCTAATTGTTTAAGCAGTTGTTTAGTTATTGAATGACTAAAGAATATATAATAAGAAAAGTAATTCGGTTTTCTTAACTCTTGTGACAATAGGCTAATATTCTCTTTTGTTGGTCGTATAAAACAAATACAACGTAAGTGTTCAAGAGGTTCACGTGGTGAGTCAATATGTTCAATTAGATAGACATCATATTTCATAATTTCTGACATAGAACAAACTACACTGACAATTTTTAAGGTTTCTTGATCAAGCATTAAAACTTTCATGCCTCCACCGTCGGCCATTGAAACCATTTTGTTAATGTAATTTCTTACAGCACGATGAATATTCATTGTCTGGAAATGCTTTCAAAAAAATGCTTGATAGAATTAAATATTGAGACCTAGAGTATTAGGCAAAATTTACAACAAAAAAAATGATTAATTAAGTGAAGATTTACACTAATAATCTAGAAAACTATTCACAACTTTGTACGAGGTAATAAAGATAAATTCATGCATTAAGAACCACATATATTCGTCTTAACTGTTTACTATGCTGGTCTATCAACAAGAAAGGAAATTCTTCCGTATAATCACACCAGGCGAAGGATTTTAAGTAATGTAAGAAGACAGAAAATACGATCGTAAATGTAAATGGCTTAAATAGTTCTAACACTCAGCAGTATACCCACCTTGACTTCTTTTTTTGATTAGTGCTTGATTCCACACCGTATATTTGGTAGAAGTCTGGAATTTTCAGCATGTGATATCAGTAGCCCAAAATTTTGCAGGCCAACCAGGTGTGCGTCGGCAGGGGATCGAACCCCAGACCATGTGCATGGTTGGCAAGAGTCATAACCGCCGTGTCACCAACGCACAATAACGGGAGGACCGTGAGGCCTGATTACTGGCAAAATCTGCACGCCCGAACGCACCCGATTAAGATCCATCGCAAGTTTCAAACCACCCAGGTGAAATGGTGAGCCTCCAACCGGGGTCAGAGTATTCTTGATCACCCTGAACCCGGCGCCAGCTAAGGTTTAGATTGCAGACTGTTTCCATTTCTCTCTTTTTCCTGTTAACTGACATTGTAGCAACCCAAAAACGGTTGTCTTCTGAATGGTTTTACAGTAATCTATTTGTCGAGATTTAACAGCTCACACTGAAGCACTACTGCCATATACCTTATGTCTTTTGTTAACCTAAAAACTAGCGAGCTGATACTAATTTGTCATTGACAAGGAGTGTTAGTGTATTGTGAATCTCAGTCTTATGATAGAAAATGCAGTGATTCCTACTGCTGATCATATTCTGGTCTCACTATTTTTATGCCAAAGATAACAAAATGAGATGTAAAATGTACTCATTAAACCTGAAGGAACAACTATTCACACAGAATGCATGTCCAGTTATTTTACCGAAGCATTAATATTTCAGATATTTGGAAGACTCGATTCTATACACAACATAAACGTTTGTTGTGAAAGCTTATTGTCTCAGTACTTAACACTAGATAAGTGAGTGCAAACCAGCAATTGTGTATGAAGTCTATACACATAACGAAGTTTTTCTTCAAAATTAAACAGAAACACACCACACCAATGAGAAAACGAAACAATTAAGCATGAACTTATGATATGAATCACCAGCGTCTTATTTTAAAAAGTTTATATTATGCATCACCTATCCAAGCATTATTTTACTGCACTCTTTTAGTGGGAATGCCAGCAGTATCTAAGATTTTAATACACAAGAGAGCTGTCACCGTCCCCCTAAAGAAAAATACAACTATCTGCATTTATGTAGACTAATGTAAAGCGCTAATTAGTGACAGAACTAACACATGGCTAAAGCATTGCTCACCCTTCAGGGGTGAAGGTAAGCAATGCTTTAGCCATGTGGTTAAAAGATTGCAATCTTTTCCGTAGTCTTCTTGCAGTAGCCATAGTCCATACCCCTTAAGTACGACAAAGCAGACTACAACGCAGTACATGTCCTTTAATTAGTAGCAGCATATCCAACTAGTGCCAACTATAATTCTGGTTAGAGAATGAAAGTCAACCCTGTATTTATGATATCACTATCGAGGCTAATAAAGCCTGACAGATAAATTCAACAGTCAGCACAAATATAAGATTGTTTTGAATTCTATAACCAGAGTTATCCTTAGCACTTTTGAGGCCAACAAAACCTTCTAGACAAATTCAACAGCCCTAGTGAAGTGACTGCTAATGAAATCTCAGCATGTATACAAAATGCTCGTGTGGCATTTGCCAACTTAAGTCATCTCATTATTGAATTCGATTCCCCGTTGACTGATTGGACCGAAGTGCTCAGTCTCAGGTTAACATGTCAGCTCCTTGTGCTGATGCTTCGACGATGTCTGATTATTTAACTTAAAGTATATTGGTGGATGGTGATTAGCAGTGGAATCCAGGTGGCTGTCGTGGCCCAAGTAGTCCAGTGGATAACGCTTTGGCCTTTGAAACTACAGGTACTAGGTTCGAGCCTCCTCAGTGGGAATACCATCACTCACTGGGGAGTGCAGGCACACCAAGGTGGCGAGTCCCAAATAGGACCTGCATCCCACTGCTAGTTACCATCCACCAACTTACTTAACGTCATCTGTGTAGACGTCATATTCAGCTATCCATTAATGGTGTGAACTGTAAAACAGCTCGCTCTCTCCTTCTTTATGACTGTACAATATGGCCAGTGAAAGTGGAAGACATGAGAAGGCTAGTTGTTTTTGATTACAGATGTTTGCGTTCTGTCTCCCGGTTTACGTGGTATAATTTGGTAAGTTATATTGAGGTTAGGCATATAGTGCTAGGTAAAGAGGGTACGTCAATCGATGGGGTTGTGAAGCTACATGTATTGAGACACCAAACACAAGTCGCGCATAACGAGCCACCGCTTATCTCGACAAGCAATTTTAGGTGAAGTAGGATTACGATAGAAAAGAGTTATGGGTGGTCAAATAAAAGCCATAAAGTCGTTAACTGTTGGTGTGAGCCAAGTAGGAAGGTGTAGACTGCTTGGTTGGGGTCCGTAAGTTGCTAAGAGCTAATGGTTCCAGGCTATTGGTGACACAGCTAAAATCGTACTCAGCGTCCCAGATATATTAACAAATAATCCTGCCCCTCTCCCAGATACCAGTGAAAACAAAACAAATAGATCAAAGAAGAGGATCTTTGTCGCGAAATGACTTACTAAACCGTACAATCGCATTTATATGCAACTTTTTCATGAGAGGGAAGTGAGAAAAGTGGCAAGTTTGTTGGTTTATTTTTCAACTGCTTATAACGCTAGTATTTCTTTAGAACTTTTACGTAATTTCATATTTTCCTTCGTTTCTATGTGCATCCGTTAAAATTATTCATATAATTAGGTAACTTCAATACTTACACAACTCGTATGAACTGACCAATACTGACAACTCGTCACTTTTGTTACTACTCTTTCAAGACAAACTGTTTATGGATGAATGTACAGCTTAGTGAATGAATCGCCGAAAAGCGCCTCTTCACTGAACTACTTTTGTTTTATTTGTAATCTTTCTGTAACATTATCATTATCATTTTACACTTTTTGTACATTTTTGAATTTATTGTCACTGCTAATATCAAAAAGATAATATTATCAATTTTGGTTACCTATGCTCTGTAACATGAACTTTTGTTTTTGCTGTTGTCGAGTGAATTCGATACAATATTGTGCCCAATCCTGAGAATTCCACACTGTATCATAAGTACTGTCTTAAGACAGCAAATTATTGTTTCCCAGATTCATTAAGTCATTTTTTTCCATGTTACTGTCCTTCCTGCCTTACATTTCTGTTCACTGTAGTTCTTCTGAATATTTTTTCTCAAAAGAATGGTTACCATCATTTGCTACGTGGAGTGTAGCAAATTGAGCTGCCTGACGTCTGTACAGAGTTGTTTGTTGAAACCCACTCATCCAGTCCAGATCCATTAAGCAGTTAGAGTGTCCAGTTAGTACACTATTTGTCCTTAACCTTAAACTTGTTGCAGCTAAGTCACAAAACAAAAACCGGACATTTTACAGAAGCATAACGCATCCATAGCATAGTTTTATTTGTTTGCAAGGTGTTCAGAACACTGCACTTTGAAAGAGACTTCATCTTATTGAGTAGTACTATACGTGTACCTTAAAACAACAAATTTCTTTGGCTAACAAAGTGACTCCAATATTTGGAGTTGAACACAGCGACTTCTGCAAGAAAAGCATGTGGAAATTGAGTAACGTGTTGTAAACTAAGAAGAGGAGCTGATAAGCAGTGATAAGTACGGAGTCTCAACCTCGTACCATAGAAAACAGAGACTAAAATCCCAAGAAATGACTACAGACCCGACTTATACTCTCTTTATTCCCACCAGCTTGGGACATCTCAATGGACACAGTAGGAGAATCCAACAACCAATAATAAACTGTATCGCCAAGTCTCTCATAACCACTACCTCTAAGAACAAACTCACAGAACTAGTATATGAGTCCTAAGTCTACATGTATAAAAGGAGTACAAACAAGCACGGATACTTAAAGAAAAGAACTTGCAAATCTGAACTCTACTGACAAATGGAGTCGCTTCCAGTCGGATGGGCATAAAGAAAATGCTTGTACAAAAGGCTGACATATGTCCTAATGCAGATCTGTAACCGTATCAGAACAATGATAACAAAATCCATCTAGTGAATGGTTTGTGAAAAGTCGCGCCCTCTTTTGATCAAAATCCCAGCGAAACGCCCACTGCGTGACTACATTACTTTACAGATACTCGTGAGTATCGGAGGTGATTGTGAATAGCATGTAAACTGCACTGACTAGATAATCTTGCATGTAGTCGAAACCTAACCAAAACTGATAATAAAACTAGCGTGGTTAAAAGATTTCATAGATTCGTTTCACACAACTGAATCAGACAAAAAGGAGGTTACGCTTATGATAAAATATTATATGCCAAATTATGTGTGTTCCTTAATTTCTGCAAATTCTAACTGATTACAAACAATAGCAGCACCGAATAACTTACCTTGCAAGAAGAAGTATAGTAAAACAGATCCTTTAGTGTGAAATTACAATTAAAAAACGGTGATTTTATCCCTAATCCTCATAAGAATGCACAATGACGCCAATTAGAAGTGATATAGCGTACAAGTGGAAAAGCGCGGAGATTTCAATAATCAACAAATGATGAATTACAAAATGCTGTTTCGTTTTCACGAGGTAGCATAAACCGAATTAACTTCTTTGCGACCGCCTCTTGGTTGTAGAGTAAAGTTCTCCGATCTTCACTAGACGTCTGCCTTCAAGGGGAGTAGTGTGGGGATTGGTTACATATGATTTACAGTATGCGACGCGTTCAGACCGAATCGGTTCTATGAATCCAGCTGGTCGCTCTACTGATTGGTCGCCGGGTATGGTTGAAAAGGGAAGTAATAATTATAATTAGTGTAGTTAATGTATCCTTAAAAGGAAAATGTACGAATAGATATAATGAAATTTAATAACTAAAGAATAGGTGAATGAATAGGTGGAGTGGCCAGGAGAATACGGCAAGGGGGAATGGGAAGTGATATGACATCCAGTAATATAGTCTGGTACGTAGGTTTCAAGTGGATAACCCATACAGACACAGTCACTGTGTTGTTGCATGCTTATCCAGCCTCCACTCGGAGCTTTTTGTACAATCCACAGTAGTAACACAACCTGATGAGGCGTTCCTAGAACGGCGAACTGGAGGCGAGAAATGGGAGTGCACCTGATTATTTGCTCTGTACGTGCGGTAATTGGTGGGTTTCTATGTTGAGGCCCATGATGGCTTAATGGGAGGATACCTTTGTTTATGTTGTTCTAGGCATTAATTCAGCCATCCCCAAAGCCGACAGTAGCTAAGTGGGAAGATATTTAACGTCCCCACCCTTTCATAGGATGGCTCATTACGGAGATCCACCACCACATACGTCGCCCGTCTTTGGACCGACTCCGAAAGGTTGGAGTACGTGAGAGCACCGATATATTTCAGTTCAAGGTGTGGTAGGAAGTTCTCTGTGTAAAAAGTCAGATATACCGCACAATGCACCAGTATTTTGACGACAAGCAATACCTCTTTTCCCGTTATTCCAGGAAAATAGTAAGTTACGCTGCTTGAAGGACGTTGGGCTCGTTACTGATCGGCTTCAGCGAGGAATAACTCTCATGATTGATGGGTGGCCAACCCTTCCTGGCCTGAGTTCTGGTCGCACCACACTCTGACTCTTTAGCCTGGTCCACCTAACCTGGTGGTCAGACAGCTCATAGCACTGCCCCGACTAGTGGTGGTAGAATATAACCCCTGCGGCGTTTTAAGGATTTTTTTAATAACGATGGTATGATGTGAGTGTGGAGACATACAATCGTACCACAAGGCCACTGTTCAGCTATATATCTTGAAAATCCAGTTGTTCTTCATGTGTTTGTACCCGTGCAGTTAAGGAAGATGATCCTTTCAGGTGAAAATATCAAGTTGCAACTGATTTGCCGAACTGCACCAGCGTATACAGCAATCGCTCCGAAAGGAAAACGTGATAGTTAGATACTTGTCTCAGTTCCTGCTCCGTTGTTCGTGGTCAGAAATGGGCAGTACGTTGAGAAGGCTGTACTGAGGCACGGGTTTTATGCAAACACCCTTAAAATATGTCCAAAATGCACTGGATAAGCAAGATACTGACTCCTCCAGTCAGAGGCTATTACACACCACTGACTAGGTGTTGGAGAGGGAGAGAATTAGAGAAAGGGACGTGAAATATGAGTAAATGTGCATAGACCCAATAATTTCAGAACTAGCGGCCGACGCTTACATATCAACGGAAAAACAAACACAAATAACAACCTTGGAAACCAGATACCTATGCTGCTTGGAGAAACTCAGTGTTGCTTCCAGCTGGTTTCAACTAGATGTAACGCTCACGGTCAGTGTGTGATTATCATTCCTGCTAGTCCTGAGAGATGATCGCACTGCTGGCTAACTCTTGAACCTGACCCACCTAACCTGGTGGCTAGGCCACCCCTAACACCGCTCCAGCTAGCGAAATGAGAGTATAACACTTCAGGCTGCTGAAAGCTGTATTTGTGGCCGATGACATGAATAGATTATAGAGTCACACAATCGCTCTACAATGAAGCTACCGAAGTGACAGAACTCTTCCATCGACAGCTGAGGGATGCGCTGACGTTTCACTCTAACCCCACTCATTAGACAGAATTCCTACCATTAGTGATGAAAGACAACTGAGAAGCTTTTCTTCCAACGAGGTATTATAGTGGAAAGTGTTAGCATTGACAGACACAAACTGGCCTGTCTAGGCAAGAATCCTCATGAGTACTGATAGAATGGTTTACACAAATGGTAGTTGATATTGCGGATGCTATTGCAGAAATAACTAAGACTGATCGGCAAGTTAAACTTAGAAACGACAGCCTACAGAGAAAAAAGAGGAAAATCACACAGAAATGTAATATAACATTGAACACAGGCTATCAGTGTGCTAAACCCTTAACTTGCGAAAAATTCCAAGGAAGACTATGAAACGAATAGTTGACGGACTAAATACACAAATCCACTTGGTCCTTACAGAAACACTTATTTTTTTCACTGAAAACGGTAAATATAAAAGGATTTTCAAGAAATATATGCGTTAAATGTTTCCGCATCTTTTTTAAGACAAAAAGAAACATTTTATACTTTTTTGAAACCATGTTGCATTGGGATACACTTCAGTTAAGTGTTAACTTGAAAGGTAGAAGTCACACTTCTTCATTAATAAACGGAGGCTGGACCTGACGATGAGATACAGAGGAAATATAAATTTCTAACTGCATGGATGGTCGAGTCAGTTTTTTCTCATAAATAAGCCAAACCTAGGTAAGCACAAGTTGGTATCACCCTTTTCTTTCCTCAATCAAGTATCTTTCAGATATGCTCAGATGAATGGACGAATCAAGAGAGAATAGCATTACAACAAAAATGAGGTGAATAAAACTAGATACATGGGTATTAAGCATTACTATTACAGAGAGTCATTATATTTATTTACTCCTGTTTATGCAGGAACATACCAATTGTACAGGCATGGATAAGTTATTATATAAATTACACATGTTTCGATGTATGTTGAATTTACAGTTTGTTTGTTCTTTCTGACATTAGAGTCAGTCAGAACAGTCTGCAAAATAGTTTGTCTGTGTAACACATAAAGAGATATAGAAATATTGTCTTCGCATTAACAAAAAACCCAGACTTCAGATGAATGTAATACAAATATCTGGGAAAAATAAAGCTTGAATTCAATTCTCCTATAAAACTTTGTTGTGAACAGCATCCGTGAGATAGAGTTTATTGATGTATTATTTTCAAGTCAGTGATGTATTTATTACATTTTTTCAGCAGTCTAATCGTAGTTTTATAATAGGAAAGAAATTTGATCTTTGATACGAAAATTAGATAAGGTAATGTTAGATTGTTTTACTGCATCAAATGGGGTCAATTCTAGAACTATCCATTTGCGCCATTTGCGTCAGCATGGCAGACTGTACATGTAAGTTGAGTAATTTATTGAAAACTGCTTGAAAGCAGCCGAACGTCCTTAACACATAGAAAAACTTTATATATACAACTTTTGTGCAAGCATGAATGCAGCTTGTTACGTAACTCATCAGGTGTTTCACTTTGTATGTTCTTTTAGTTTAGCATAAGGATCATCTTAGAGCTTGGAAATTTCTGCTTTGGATTACTAAATCGGTGTTGATTACTTATTGTTAGTTTTACATACATATGTTAAACGTAACTCAAATTTATATGCATTTCTTATTTTTAATATACCAGACTTTAAATATGCACAATATTAGTCAATGAGAACTTACAGTCGACCATAGGACGCCTACTTATGAAGCAGTATTGGTACAAAATATGTATTCATCGTAACCGTATGCGCCACCATAATTCCACAGTGGCCCTAGATAAGCAGCCCCTATCGCTACAACACAGCAGTCCCGCAAAAGTATATATCTCTCACTGACGAAATAGTGTAGAAGCGGTGAAACGGAGAAACCCAAACATCTACCTGCTCACTTCATAAACTGTTTTATTCGAGCTTATAACACACAGACAGTGGTAAGAGAAAAGCACAAGAACGGTTCACAACTTTGAGCTCGAACTACTGACAGTGGCAACAAATGCCCTAAGTATCCATCTCCTCCGACCATATTGCTGTATCGGTAACGTCTAGCGACAACAGATATCACGGAAACCGTTTTCATGATAAACGTGGATTATGACAAATAATAATTTATCATTCGTGTAATTGGGTAGGTTTTCATGAAATGCATGCCATTTTACAGGCACGATCAAATGTGTTTTAAAAAACAATCGTGAAGTATTATAAATTAGCACTTTTCAAAATTCAAACTGGTAATTTTTAGTACGGCTTTTCGATTAGTAAGCTACATTTGCTCAGTTACATAAAACTCTTATTTCTGTGGCGTTTCTTGCCAAGAAGTTGTGGAACTTACTGCAATTATTTGCCTTTGGAACACTGAATCTGTGGATGTAATCTCGTTAACCGATAATACCTATAACTATCTTTTTAGCAGTTTGTGTCTGTTTAACACTAGCTAATATCTATAATTGTATATATTGATGGCTTTACACGTCTAAGTCGGTTCGAGCCAGTTAGTCTATGGTTTCGATATCACTTTTGTTGATTGTATCTAACTGTGACACTATTGCTGCGGTTTTTATTGTCGTTGTCGCTGACCTTCCTGTTGTGATTTTTTTCTCCTTTTGCTGGTGTTGCCTTGATTGCTTTATTCTTTGTTTTCCTGAATCTAAGGGGAGCAACCCATAAGGTTGCTGTGCGAGACTGGCAAAGCTGCCCAGATTGCAAACTAGGTGAAAAGATACGGAATTCAAATACTGGGGATATGTGAAAGCAGATGGAATGGAAATGAATTCACCAAATTTTCAATGGGAGAGTCTTTTGATCTACTCCGGTCAACCAGAAGATAACCAGGTGCACGCTGAGGTTGTGGCTATCACGATTTCACCTACGGCAAAGGAGGCCCTGATAGAATAGGAGGCGATCTCGCCCAGGATAATCACCGCCAGATTCAACTCCAAAGGAAGGAAAGTGT